TGACGCACGAAATCGCCATTACCAGTTCTGGTCGTGGTGTCGAATAGCAGGTAACAATCCTTCCAAATAATTCGATCACAGCACGACGCTAAATTAGCATATGCATGCTTGAGATCGTGCAAAAACTCCGAGAGTTTATGGTGGCCCGCAGTTACGGCACTCCAGCGATGCACGATCAGTCGCTCAATGCGGCTTCCGCTCCTGTTCAGAATATGTTTAATATGGCCCATCAGTTTACCGGCCACCTTTCCGTTGCTGCAGATCCACACCTCCGATGCCAATGCAAAGCGTACGAGTGGCGGAAGTGACATACTTGAAGATGCAATTGTACGCCGCGTAGTTCCATGTCAAGTCGCCATCCCGGGAAGGAAAGTTCCACCGCCAGAGGCCCGCATTCTTCAAAATGCGGACCTCTCGCTGGCGTTCCGCTGAGCCGATGAGCTCGTCCTACAGATGGCACGTGCGACGACAGCGTTGCTGGTCGATGGTGTCCAGCGACTGGAAGATCTCACGGAGAAGCTCTATCGGGGGGAATTGTACTTCCTCGTTATCCGACGCCCAGACGGAACCAGACCGTTGCGCATCAGTCGTTTTCGCGTCGGGAACGTATGCCAGCTTCAAACGGCGTTTGCCAAGTCTCTTCCGGAAATACAAGAAAGGCGGACGAGCTCCACGCGATCGGGTGACAAAATCACCGGGTTGAACTACCCTTTGCCGGAATTCTTCATCGGATGGTTTCCGACGAACCTGAATTTGTGGAAGGAGCTCGCGAGTGCGGCGTCCTTCCCATGAGACCTCCATCAGAAGATGGCTTTTGAGATGCTCGAAACCGAACATGAATAGTTTCCCGGGATACCACGCCCAAGGACGATCCGGTGCAGCGCGGAGTAGGACCTACATTTCAGTGTCGTCCGCTAGCGCGAGGGAAGAAGGCAGCCATGTCTCGCGCTGGTAGCACTTTACCTGACTCGGCAGATGTTTGGACGGTCTGTGCTGGGGAGAACACGCGAAGACCTTCCCGTAATCAACCCGCACCGACCGCTGTCCCGGGCATCCAAAGTCAATAATCAAACGCTGCGCCACTGCATCGTCGTCCGCCAGACCGATAACGTGACCGTGCTGCAGTAGTCCGTTGATTTCCACATTAACTGCACCCCAACAGTACACTGATCGCTCTGCAGTTTCGTACAGGTACATTTTCCGCACGAACTGGTGTGAATCTTGAGCCACTCGAAGAAATAATTTCCAAAGATGACAGTTACCTGAGGGCGCAGACTATTAACAATTCCGTCTAACCGATTGTGACTTTCACCATAGACCTTAAAACGTATCTAATCAGGTTTAAGCTAATCGCCAGCCGTTGTATACTATTACAAACGTTGCGCTTGATATCGTCTTCTATAAGCTGCAGCGTTTTCAGCAGATAAGCACGACGTAAGCGTCTAACTTGTAGTTGTAAGTCATTAGAATTTGGAGCGCTGCGGATGAATACATTCGACAAAAGTGGCAGAAAGGCAGAAAATCTGTCTCGGCAAAAAATCTGTCTTAGTCCAGTTATATAATTAAAACAAATTTGAAAGCTGTAATGAAGGAGAAGAAGCAAAAAGCTATGTGCGAAACGACGTGATTAAGAGAAACGTGAAACCTGCTCGGACTTTAGTTGAGCCGGGTAAGAAATGAATGGAACTTTAGCGAGATGTCCATGACCTACCAAGTCGCTCATAAATTTCGTTGCGGGACACTTTGTCCGCCAATTTTCTTCGCGCGGACAATTAGTTTAAAGATTTGTCGTCACTAGAAATTTCGTTTCGAGACAAGTGGTAATCAAACATTTCGCATCCTGGACACTTCTTTGGTAACATGGACACCTCGAATTCAGATAAATCTTCGGCAGGATAATTGGATTCGATCCATTGTTTAAATTGAAAATCCTACCGTTTTTCACCTAAAAATTGATCTCATTGGGTCAACCAAAAAATATGCGATATCCAATTATTTTAATACATTTCGAAAACATCATATTTTGATTAAAAGACATTGCACAAACTATAATACAATACCTACCTGCATGTACCGCCGGTATTATCGACAATATCTTAAAATTCGCTGCCTTTATCCGTACTGGTCCGAATCAGAGCTGTCGCGGGGCTGTGACAAATTATTCAAAATAATGTCGGATATGGTACTGCATAGAACCCCAAAAAACAAGTATGCTTAATCGGTTCCGCGTGCTATCCTCCAAACCGGCCAGATTGCTCAGCGTCCACTTGTTATTTCGGCAATGTGCCGACGGACGCGGATGGCAAGCTTAGTAATCCCCAGAATCAGCCAATAAGAACTACATCTGAATTTTTGATTTGGTGGAAGATAACATTGGTCGATGATCAAGCCTTCGTTGAACCTTCATTTACGAAGGTGTATTGTGGTGTTTCGTGAATACCTGTTGTCGTGCTTGTGTACACTGTCTCGTATGTCAACTTTATCTTGTACTGCCTGCTGTTGGAATTATTCCTTTTGCTCTGTTTGCTAGCCACCGTCATGTGGATTATTAAACCACTTATTAAACTACGCACTCTTACACACGTCGCATATTATCTTACGTAAAGTGACCAAATTATGAGAACACTCCAAGTGCAGTACAAAGTACGTCTATCGCCCTTTCAGCCGTCCCAGGTCTTTCAGTCAACCGTGCTGCGTATTGGAGGACATCCCTTATAATTATGTTTTCAACGGCAGCTCGTCGCAGCAAAGACGCTTCTCGAACACGTCCCAGATTTGTGTCTCGTCGAGATTGACCAGATCCCAAACAACAAACCTCTCGATGGATACCATCAATCGGCAGCGCTTCCGCCGCGTCTGCTGTCTGTGGAACGAGACTCGGACTTCACCGGAAATCTGCCGTGACGTCTGTGTGAAACTTCATAACAAGAATGGCATTCCAAATGCTGTATGGCAATACCAAACCTGCGATTGTATCATTAAGCGCATAACACCGGCCACGCGCGCTGTAATAACGGACTTCGGCTTTTCTACTGCGCCCTGCCCTCCACCGGATATTGACCAGGTCTTACAAGCAATGGGTACACGGCTAGACCACTTGGTTGTGGCCAAGAGCTACACACACTTGTGGTGGGGTTGTACATTGAATCGATCACCACAGCTCTTTGCTTTCGCAGTTGCTTAGAACTGGCTGGACTATGCAGGGATTCTTGGACTGTCTAGCAAGGTCATATGCCAGCATGTCGTCCTGGTGTGAACGGATAATTTGAAGGAACTATCTGATGCGGCTGAATTGCCCAACAAAAAACGGCATGTGTTTCTATATTAAGCATACGGTGCTGCACTTGTGCAGCATTACCACGGAACACCTTTGGGAAATTTTTGAGAGGCAGATGAGCCCGAAGGAAGAAAATTTTTGAGAGGCAGATGAGCCGCTGGACGTGGAACGTACCGTATAGTGGACGACGCAGCAGATTCAGCCAAAGCCTGCCGAGAACTGTATTCTAATCATGCGGGTGGTCTTTACACGTTCGTTCAAACTGCAATGACAACCTCTTACAGATTTCGAGGGCATACCAGGTCGGCAATCCGCGTCCTGCGATGGATCTTTCCGCGTGGGATCGGAAGTTAAAAACTCTGGATTGTGTGGATATTCGGAAATTGAACCAAATCAGTTGAGGGTAGGCACACTTCTGGACATTAAAACATTTAGTGACAGATCTGTAAAGTATCGAGAATGCGACTGTTCTTCGATGTTTATAACTGTTTCTGCTGTCTTCTACTGTTCGCCAGCGTTTGTTACTGTTGGTAACTGTTCTTCGGTGTTTACCACTGTTCACCGCCGTGGGTAACTATTCTCTGCTGTTATCTACTGTTAGTAACTGTTCTTTGCTGTTACCCACTGTTAATAACAGTTTTAATTTTGCTGTTGCATCTTATTGCAGCAGTTGCTGTTTGCTGCTGTTACTTGCTGTTCCTTGCTGTTATTCCTTGATGTCCCGAAGTTTGTCTACAAGTCAGTCTGGGTGCCGTATCCGGTTGCGCGAAAGACGTTGCCGACGCGTCGTTACCGCCCACCGCGACTCAGAGCCTTTGACGAAGAGGAAGAAGAAGAAAACGACCTAATGGATTTTACTTTACTAGAGGACATTGCAAATTATGCCATCTAAGCCCCTAAATAAAAAATACATTAAAGATTCGTAGCGTTAAGCAATTTTCGCAAGAAAGCCTTTCAACTTTTAAGCGACAAGGGTATGTAATAAGAGCTACTGGCAGAGCAAACAATAAAAAATGAAGGGCTTTGGCAACTGGCAAACGATAAATCCTGGCAGATGCCAGAGAAATCTTTTCGTCCGGCTTGCGCGCATCCCGCAGCCCGTTCCGCCAATGAGGGCCGATCCAGCAGTTCTTTCGGAACGACACATATCCTTTCAACAACGTCCAACAGCTGCCAATTTATATCATCCCGTGCCCGGATGCGGTATGCTTGCTGTTGCATAACAACCTGCAAATTGCCGTTACCGAAGTCTCATTCATTCGACACCACTGTCAAATTACGTAAATTCTCCACGACCAGGCCAGCGATGCCGTCCATCGCCTCGGTAGCATCAACTTTAGTGTCGAAACCGCGATTGAACAATACCAACGCCTGTAGGGCAACGCCACCTTTGTACGAAGGCAACATAACAACAGATTTCCAATTGATAATTGTGGCTATCAACACCGATCATCTGACAAGATGCTTAATATTCACGGCAGGACATTGGTGCCCTTGCAAGCGACAAGTTGCCGATTGACACTAACGACAGTAAAACATACTGTAATATATTCGTTTCCCTTACAGATGGGGCGCAGTTATTCTTATTAAAGCAGCTCGTTAGCGGACAGCCAAGTAGCCGGTTTAACAGTGCACGAAACATAATTATGCGCATAATAACTGGAGTAGTTAGTAAGTCATGTACTTATCAAAGAAAGTCTGGACACGTAATTGATGCGAAAGCTGTCAAGCTGCTTAAAAATTCTCGTGTCGCATTTTCTGAGGATTGATGTCGGACCAGCAACTGAACGATAATGGGGCGCTGTTGTAGTTGTCTCTGAATTTTTTTGTACAACACAACCATGCCAGCGAAAACGTTAAAAATGTGGTTACGGTATGGATTCACTCTGCTCATGGTCCTCCATGAATCATCTTTAGCTCCAACACTGCCAGACGGTGCGCAAGAATTATTTAACTGTAGATCATATCATATGTGTCTAGAGATCTTTGAATTGTTGAATTTTCTCAAAAGTTTTTCGCTGGAATTCCCGATCGTCATTTTCACAGACTGGAGAGACTACGTTGATGTCGAAATGGCGACGGCGGATAACGACCAATCACGATACAGCAGCGAACTTTTTGAAGGCGACATTCTGGGACTTGATTTTGATGATGTGATTATTGTGACAGCAGTTCTTTTTTTTATTGCCGATTTCCAGGCATTGCGTGCGCTTTACTTGCAGATTCAAGGACAGGCTGCCGCCAACGCGGTCGACGACAGCAATTTGTTGTGGCCCAATAATACCGTTCCCTACGAATTCACCACGCAACGCTCAGCGGCATTCAGTAACCCCACACATCACTTGCGTATGAGTACCGTAGTGATTGCGTGAAATTGACTAAATGTTTTTAGGGGCATCAGAAAAGAAGATGATTGAGGAAGCGATGGCTATCATCATGCATCTCACCGGCAACTGCGTGAATTTTGTCGCTCGCACCAACGAAACCGACTTCGTCAAATTCCAAAAAAGCTTTCAGTGAGCTGTTGATATGAACCCGGAAATGAGAACACGGCAGATTTGCGACTTTGCATTCATGAAAAGGACAAGTGCAAGTCAACTTCCATATCTATGCGGTACTCTTGTTACAGATGCTCTTCGAATATCGGCCGCATTGGCCAGAAACAGCTGATACAGCTGACGTCAGGTTGCATCCTGCACTACGGTTGCATCCAACACGAGCTGATGCATACGCTGGGTTTCTACCACGAGCAGTCACGCCTCGACCGGGACGATTATGTTTTTATCAACTGGAACAACATCGCAACAGGTGTGTTAGTTTCTACATAAACACCGATCCAGACAATCCGTAACTGGGCTTTCTTCCTTGCTATTAAACCGAGCACAAAGAATTCTCCAGATTTTCTACTTTTTAAGAAAAACTTCTAGAGATCACAGCGACAAAAACAAAAATACCCATTTTATCAATGTGCTTATAATACTCGTACCATAAGCCCCGTTTTAATCTTACAAAAGCAGCACAGCATAAAATATATCAGACAGCGGTTCAATGCGGTTAATTTTATTGAACACAATGGCGTCTCTCATTTAAATGGACTCGCACGTACACTAAAATCCATACTTCAACGGGTCTCAAATATGGAGCAGTTTAAGTACGATATAGCTGCATGAAATATACTGCTGACCATAATCAGGAAGTAAAATTCTCTAAAAATTGAAAATAATACATAGTTTTCCGATACTGCATCACGTTTCTCTTCGATTTACCGCACAAATAGGATCATATAATTATACTATGCCAGTCTTGAACTGTACAAAGTTTGGAGCTCTGCATAGCTGCTAATTAGCAGCTATAGGCGTAGATTTGCTCTTTTGTAACCTACAGAAATTTTGCCGTGCGCCAACAGGAGAACTGTGAATTCCCTATGTAACACTTCTGTTTGCACTTTTTCCGCAGCGGTGGCGTAACACCATGGCCACTGCATCTCCGCACAATTTGCAAAAACATTTTAATTAATTTTATATCAGTTAGTTTTCTGTTTCGTTAGTATATATTTATGTATCTGCCGAATAAACCGGCAGCATACTTCACGAACCCAAGCCGTTTAAGAAGTGTCGGACAAAGCTCGTGCTTCTTTACTGCCACGATATGTTGCCGTTTAACCAGAGTCGCATAGCTCCCAAACGCCGAGTCTGCGGTGGTGCAGATCAGCAGTTTACAATATTTCCCACGATTTGTTTGCTTTTGGGTCGGGTTCAGAATTCAGTTTTTCTGTAGAGGACAAAATTCAGTTCGAGAAGCGCACAGGAGAGACGTATGGTCTTCCCTACGATTACCAGTCGATTATGCACTACGAAATGAAAGCCTTCGCTAAAGACTCAAATTTGCCAACTGTGATACCAAAAGTGAAGGGAATGAAAATGGGTCAAAACGAAAATCTCAGTCCGCTGGATGTAGCCAGGATTCACAGGCGCTTCAAGTGCAATGTGCCCACCGGAAAACAGTTCGCGTACGCGCGTAATGCTTGTCTATCGTCCACTCCAACTTCCTCCCCGGCTTCAGGTTTGTCACAGAGCTTTTGGTAGTATAGCACAGTGCTATTCAATACAGTTGTACGCGCTCAACGACAGCAGTACGTATGCGGTTTTGCACTATTCAAAGTAAGCCAGTTTTGTGTAGCTGCACGGTGTACCGCTTGCACAACCAGTAGAATTATTAATTAGACCACCTATTATGTAAAGCACTGAACACCATGAAGAAAAATTCAGAATATTTGTTCAGGTAACGACATCATCGACAAGGATGCGAAACAAACCGCGATCGAACGACCTAAATCGGACGTAAACTGCTCGGCAAGTTTGCAACGAATGGAGCAGCCTCAGCAATGTCCGCTTCATTGTTCTTCCATGAGAAACTCAGCTGCACGTACAGGTACACTCTGTCTACATACCCAATCCTGTGTAATTTTCTGATTTATCTTTGATTTGGTACTCGCTTCGCAGAACTTTTGCTGTTGTTTAATATCAGAGTATGGACGATTTCAAACCAGTTTTTAAATTTTCAGCCCATTACTTTTCGATACGTATCCCCAGCACCCGGCTTCATCCAGCGGTATTCTTGCGTGTTCTGCCTGTATTCCGCCTCATTTACTCCGCATCCGTTAATTGTCTTTTTGTAAGACCTTGTATTCCCCCGTATCCCACCGGTATTCTCGCGTGTTTTGCCTGTATTATTCGGCTTGTCCGCTCCACAGAACACACCAGGCAGAACAGGCAAGAATACCGGCGGAATACACGGGCTTACAGGGGCCGTTGTAGAGAGACACAGAACGAAAACGGAGCGGATAAGGCAAATTAATGCTGAACACAAACGAGTACCGATGGAATACGCGGGAATACTAAAAGTACGTAAGGGAAAATGGTGGCTCGAATTTTTGTGGTGGTGCGAACCGAGCCATAGGCGAATGTTTACGGAAAAAATTTGAAAATTTGCAAGTTCTGTATCGTTCCTGCGCATTATTTATGGTCATCTGTTGGTCGTTTGAACGTTGTATATTGCCGTTCACATAGACTTGAACGCAATCGAAAGTAACGAAAACTGCATTCACAGCAATCAAAACTTACAGGCAACCACAACCTGGCGTCGGAACCATTCCCGCAATTCTCCAACTGGCCTATGTCTCCTACGCAGTGCGCACTCCAGTTTACACCCAACTGCCACGCGCTAGACTACACAAATCTTACGTGCACCAACGCCTTCACTCTGGATATCAACTGTAATCTTCTCGAAACCTCCTTTGATATTCAGCGGATGACTGCAGCAATGTCTGTTCCCCCACTAAGGGCCATAAGGTTGATGCGGTCGGATGGCACGCTGCTCGCATTCTCTAACTATGCTGCAATCAGGAAGCAGATTATCATATTCAGTCTTGCCGACTGTAAATCCAGTCGCGTTACTCTTAAGCTGTTGGAGTTGCAGTTTATCAATCTGCTGGCTTTTGGACTGATTCGGTGTTATGATTTGGCAATCGAAGCCGCCGATTTCGGTCTTACTAACCGGCTGAGACAAATTACCATCGAGAGCTCAACAATTAGTACGCTGGAGAAATACACATTTACTGATCTTCCAGCTTTAAGATTAATTTCGCTGGAGTACCGGATGAGTAGGATGGATGTATTCAGCGAACGTATTCGGGAATACTTGAAGAAGCTGCATTGTAGCGGAGACTTCCAATGGTTTCGCGAATGGTGGGATGGTAATGAAGAGATGCTGCGGAAAAGCGACAGAGGTGGCGTTCTTTCAATTGGTGGTTGGGATAATCTTCCTGCGAGCGAAGAAGAAGTGAATCTGCCAATCGACTGCGATACGAATAAATTTCCTACCGGATGGGCTACCACTGAGTATACGCAATTTACGAGTACATCCACAGACACCATCATCGACTTTGATGACCTACTCAAGGCCTAAAATAGTGTCCTTTAATGGACAAAGTGTCCATCATTGAAAAAACTTGTCCTTCACTGCTCCAAAAAATGTCCGTGATTGAAAAATTCAAATAAATTGAAACATGAGGGTGTCTGAATATGTAAGTGATTTTTCAATTTGCGATACTGCCATTTACCAAGCTGCTGAGAGCTGTAACATTTACTTTATGCACTTCTAGGACTCTCGGTCTGCAGTACAGATAAGGTCAGTTTACTTATTCGATACCTTGGTTGCCGGGCAGAGGTGTATAATTGCGGTTAGCGATCTGTTTGTCTGTCAACCATTATTACCATAACAGACACAACTTCTGAACTGCCTGCTGCTTAAGGAACTACTCTGCAAGTAGTTCAAAAATCATTCAATAACTTCACCGCTTTGCTCAGGCATTCTCTTTCCAAATGAGGATTTCTCTATCTGACCTCTGTGTGACCTTTCACTTAAGACATTGGTACTCCGGCACATCACTGGCGTGCACTGTTCTCTGTCTGATAGTCTCGTAGTGAGATAAGTGACCTTAAATAGCACTTGCATCCCATGGCCTTTGGTCACCTCTTCGATCTTCATGCCTTGTATCGCCAGGTTGATGGGCAAATCTATCGCTTCTGCGTCCATCTGGCGTGAGCTCAAGTAACGTATACGCAATTTCTTGCATGTTTCTCGTGTTTGCAGCTGGGAGGCGAGAATCATCTCTTGTTACCCTTGCACCAATACCCGTGCAACGGCATGTGTTAACAATATTATTATTTTCAATCTATGATAACATGTCATGAGCTTACTACATCCTACTCAGAACTATCGCGACTTGTTTTATTTTATCAAGACAGTTCTGGGACTCGGTTCGATGGCTCTTCTGTACTGCAAACAATGCAGTATCTTTAGGTGAATTTCGTAGCATAATAAACCAAGGAAACAGCCGACGATAAATATGTGCGTGATATGATAAGCTTCCCGATAACAACAAGCGATTATATTATTATTAATTTATGCCTCTTACTAATTTGCGCAGTCAGTGTTCCAGTTACAGAACACAGGCTACAATTACTTTTTCCCGTAAACATACCCTGTGGTATAACTTACGCGAGTCGATAAGACGCAACATGTATCTTTACGAAACTTCCGGCCGATCGGTGTACTCATGGAGATCAGTGGATGCAGAAATAGACGGACAACTGCAGCACGGCTACGTCGTTGGCGCGGCCGTCGGCGATGACGGATCGCGGTGCCTGATTTTGGATTTTGGATGCCCGACACAGCGGTCGGTCATGGTGGAGCACTGTAAGGTCTTCGAGTGCTCTCAAGACCAACAACCGCGATTATCCTGGTCGAGCCGATTAAAGGCGCGCCAGTGCCGTAGCGATGCATGGCTGTGGAGTTCCCTTGCGGAAGCAGAAAAGACAGACGTCCAGGTCCTGCTGCGCGCCGGTCACCATCACCCATGGACGTGGTACCCCGGAAAAATCCTCCTGTTCTGCTGTCAGGAACAGGTTGACAACGTGCTGGTAGAAGTGATGTGGGGAGAAGAGCGGCGTACGCGCGAACTCCTCCCGGTGTCACAGATCCGTCTACCGCCTTCGGACGAAGAGCTCCGGCAGCGAACCCGGGGACTCCGCGATTATTTCGTGATGCACAAAGCGTTGTCCGACGGTAACGTTAGAACGCATGTGCACAGACGCAGGATGGTCAATGGGCACCGACAATTTTGGACTTTTCACATCGATTAAAGGAAGACCTTAGTACAAGTGCCAACTTCCATGCCGGCGTTGGAAGAGGACGAAATACGCTTTGCTCTACCAGAGCTCCTTGTGCAAGTGTTCCGCTCACTGGACACGACCGAGCGACAGCGCTGCCGACGCACTTGTCACTTGTGGGACGCAATTCTGTGCACGTTGCAGTTGTGCCAAGAAGCTCGCGTATCGTTGGAAGATAAAGCCGGTTTGATGCGGTGCAACTACGCGGCATACTGTTGCCTCTTCAAACACATTACGCGCGCTACTCGGACCATTTGCATTTATGACAGGTACGCGGACGGCGACCAAAAGTCCTTACAGTACGAAGACGTGGCGAACGCCGGTCAGATGGTGGGTCATATTAAGAAGATCCTGGATGATAACGGTGGCCGCATTGAGCAGTTAATTCTATACCGGCGCGCGACAGCTATCACAGCGAAGTCAGTGTATTTCTGGCAGTATCTGAACGATATTAGCGCTTTGTATGCCGGTCTTGCGACTTGCTGTGAGCGGGTGGTTTGGAAGGGTTATGCACTGAATTTCGGCGCCATAGAAGGCCGCAATCCCGTGCTGGAATTCCGTATTCCGTACGCTGATTTCCGTCTGAATGCCATCGTTGAAGCGGATTTCTGGGTGGTTTTTGAAAAGCATCTTTGCTCCAGAAAACCGTTAAATGTGGACCAAATATCGCAGTGGACGATGGATTTGATCGCGAGGAAGTCGAAAAGTGCTTGTAACCAACTAATACGGGTAAGGCAAATGTCAACAACACTCGTAAGCGACCAACCTGTCTCACCGGGCGTCGTACTGATCTTACTGGTCGGAGCGCTTTGGTCGATCTCACCTAATCACTGTTCAGCGGCGCAGTTTAATTGGTTAGTTAAGCGGTCTCCGGTTTCTTGTAGATTCTTTGTGAGTACCAGATAAAGGATCCGCGTGTTTCTAACCGCGGCTGGATTCCGGCGTGGACGTCACCGGAGGTGAAGACTCTTACAGTGGCTCATCTGGGGAGTTTGGACGTAAGGAAATTGAACAACATTTGTCTGTCTGTGTTGGAAGACTACATGGAAAAAGGGTCGGATTGAGCCGAACCGTGCTTGACATCTTTGCTTCCGCCGGAAGCAGTTAACAATTTACTCGTATATATAAAGTACTGGAACCTGAGTAGGCGATAGCTTTACTCTAGTGAGTCCAGGGTGCCGAATATTACCGTGATCTTCACGTTTACTTTGGGATTAATTGGCTTTAGTCGGCAGTTCTTTTACCAGTGCCACTTTGTTATTGATGTTCTTAAACGTACATTTCTTACACAGCCTTCGAAAAACTGAACTTATCACTCACCATCAACTGACCCATGCGGTCTCATCACAGAAAGCCTTTGATCCAAATTTGCCCTTATCGCGGTAAAAAAAGTACATTGCGGTATCTGGTCGCAGTTACACTTTCTGGCTAAGAAATAAAGAAATAGTAATACTTAATATTGAAAATCGGTTTCTGCAGAGAATTGAATTTTTCGTAAATGACCTTTGCCTCTCATAAATCAGGGCTTAATGTCTGAGCATTGATTTCAAGCGAAAGCCTTCGAAATTAGTCCCAGTTCACAATCCACACAAGATATTTTACGCTCGCTTGATACATTGTCCACCCAAGCGCCAAGCTGTGCGGCTGTCACGTTGCATCAGCTAATCCCTTCTGAAAGGAATCTGTTTTTGCTATGCATGCACGTTAGCGTCTCCCAGAACAATTAAATTACAGTACCGTACTTCAAGTTCCGCTTTACCGCATGATTTAATGTTAGCACTCTTACCTCCTTTAAAAGTGTTTGTTGTCACTGTCACGGATACGCAGTTTTCATAGCAGTAGCAGCAGCAGAAGTCGGAACCCCATTCCTTTACATGCACCATGAGTCCATGACATAACTTTCGCCGCGGGCGACTTTTGGGTTAAATATAATAAAAATTTACAATTATTCGGAACATAACTACGCGGATTATCGTTTGCCACAAGGAAACGAAATTACTCCAACACATACATAGCTACGACACAAATTAAATCGGTTTACTGTCGTCTGCCAGTGTGACTGCTGGTAGTGGTGACCTATCGACCCATTTCGGGATGTGGTCATTCCACGCGAATAGGCAAAGTTTGTTCAGTTTTCTGACGTCCAAAATGTCCAGATCGTCCATTTTCCACTTGCGGCCAAAATAATGCGCAGTTAGACGGCGATCGCTGCTCTGGTAAGCCTCCAGCAACTATTCGTCAAAAAGAAACAATTATCGTACAAGCAAGTAGTTGAATTGCTTAGACTGGTATGTAGTGCGCATGATTTTGAATACCTCGAGCAGCTTTTGCATGCCTCCTCGCATTTCTCTGCGATCAGCTTCGCTGTCCGGTGCGATATGCGGCCGGCTGATCCCAGCACAAATGCCGTTCAAAGGTGTCCCATAGTATCTGTGCATCGAGACGATTCAAACGGAAAGCAGCATAGGGAATGTTAAACTCCATCCAGACGATTATCGAATCCCTCCTTGAATTTGGCGGAATATTTGTTCCAAATCAGCCAGTCGCAGCATGACGCCAAATCGGAGAATACTGCGGCGCTGTTCACAAAATAGTAATTCGACAGGCTGCGTCTCTCTTGCAGTATGGAAATTGATCGATTGTATATAATTAGTTGGGTAATACGATGTTATCGCTATCCTCTCCGGCCGCACAAGTGCAAAGTATTGGACACCGTTGGAACATGCGGCAGCATTACAGTCAGTTCACGAACCAGAGCGTGGTCAGAGTTCTGTGGTTTCAAGCTGTGGCTGTGTGAGCCAGACTGCCAGTGACGGAACTTCATGAGCCGGAAGAAATCCCGGAACAGAATTTCAGAAATTCATTTGAGCAATACCGCGTCTGCATAACTATTGATTCGAAAAAGAACGAAGCTGAAGACGGAAACGCGAAGACAGAACGGAAGGGGCCAGCTTCGACGATGCGCTCTGGTGCTTCTGCCGGAAATTGTGCAGGAGGTCTTCCTCCTGCACAATACCATTAATCCATTAATCGATCCATTAATACCATTAATCCATTAATCCATTAATCCATACATGGATACCATTAATCGACAGCGCTGCCGGTGCGTCTGCCGCCTGTTGGACGAGATTCTAACTTCACCGGAAATCTGTCGCGACGTCTGTGTGAAACTTCATAACAGGAATGGCATTCCAAATGCAGAATGGCAATACCAAACCTGCGCTCGTATCCTTAAGCACATAACACCGGCCACGCGCACCGTAATAAATGACTTCGGCTTTTCTATTGCGCGCTGCCTTATTTGGAGAAAGATCAATATTACGCGCGGCCTCTCACAGTCTCGAGATCCCTCTAACCAAAAACTTATCAGGTCGTACAAGCCATGGGTACAAGGGTAGACCACTTGGTTGAGGCCAGAAGTCACACACACCTCTGGTGGGGTTGTACAGTGAATTGATCACTTTGCTTTCGAAGCTGCTCAGAACTGGCTGGGCACTGCAGGGATTCTTGGACTGTCTAGCAAGGTCATATGCCAGCATGTCGTCCTGGCGTGACCGCGTAATCTGGAAGAACTATCTGGTGCGGCTGAATTGCCCAACAAAATACGGCATGCGTAATGCGTTTCTATATTAAGCATGCGGTGCTGCACCTGCGCAACATTACCACGGAGCACCTTTGGGAAGTTTTTGAGAGACATTTGAAGGGCGATGAGCCGCTGGACGTGGAACGTACCGTCCAGTGGACCACGCAGCATATTCAGCCACAATCTACCGAGAACTGTCTGCTAATCATGCAGGTCAGGCTCGGGTGGTCTTCACACGTTCGTTCCAACTGCAATGATAATCACTTACAGATTCTAAGGGCATACCAGGTGGGCAATCCGCGTCCTGCGACGGATCTTTCCGCGTGGAACCAAAGTTGGAAACACTGGACCGTGTGGATATTAGGAAATTAAATCGAATCCGTTTGAGTGCTCTGTCCGGTTGTGCGACAGAGCCGAGTGACGCGCCGTTATCGCCCAGCGAAAGCTCAGAGCCTTTGACGAAGAAGAAAAAACTGACGTAATGGATTTCACTTTATCATAGGGCATCGTAAAGCATCCAGTTTAAGCGTTTCAATTACAAATTTGTAGCGTTGTCTGCAAGAAGACGATCTAAACTTTTAAACGGACTAAGAAGTTGCTGAGCATAAAACTTTATATTAACTGCATCTCAGATGCCGATCTAAGACTTGATACCTGTATTTAAATTTCTTATCTGTTGTGGAATGATTGTTTTGTTATTTTTTGTTATTATACCTGTATGAGTCTAATGCATTTTCAGTGCAGTGCATGTTAAAGATGGAGTCAATTTCTTATGCAAACTTTAAAAGACTGCATGTATGAATTAAGACTATCTAGTTAATTTTAATTTTTGATGATACGGTGATTGCTTTCTCTTAACCCTTGTCTAGGGTAAGTCAAGTCAGTTTTATTGCTCGTATTCATCCAGAGAAATAAGTAGAACTCACAAGTCGTCATTTGAACCTGAAGTACTCGGTAAATATGTACTTAAAGTGAATGGATAGAAACCATTCAATGGGTGATGTACCAATCTATACTGCAAGTTCTGCCTGACACTCTGTTGAACAAAAATATTAATTTTAAGAAAGGACGAAAGCGAATTTTCCGTGCAGCGGTACAGAGTACAGCTGCATTATGCATGTACAAGTACATGGTACACGAAATGAACACCATGTACCGGCACACCCGAGAAGCAACTTTCTGTTGAATTTAACGGTAATACTTTTATGATTGCACTTATATATTGCTGTATTGATGCCGTCGATGGGTAAAAATACGGTTAATACGTCATCCGGCGATGAGGTCATACCAGCCGGCCTTAGAGCGCTATTGTACTTTCCGGTTAAACGTAGCTCGATATCATTAATTATCAGCCATTCCCTGCATTGCAGCTTCGCTGTCAAAGCGACTTCATTATGCGATGATATCATAGCTGCCGCTTCCGGTGACATCGCTGTATTACTTTGCCTGTAGTATTCTCAGTTGGGCCAAAATGAAAGGGGCCAGGGAGATTAGTCGAAGCAACGCGCCTTCCCTTTTACTCATGTATTGCTTTCTGCAGTCTGCGCTCATTCTTTCTCTCTCTCTCTTGTTACTCTGCGGAGTCTGGTGCTTTTACAGGTTGTTCGTTCAGCTTGACTACATGTACAGTGATGTACTGTACTTCTAAATCGCTTACCAGTTCCCGTGCTCGATCATATTCTGCGCATTTTTGCAGTACAGTTTATAGCCTGAATTATTTCAGCTATTTATTTCCAACTCCGAATGAACTGCCGCGATCACAGCTAAATACTTTTGGCTGATTGGTATTTGCTCCGTACGGAGCTACAGATACGTAAAACAGACTGCGTAAATTGAGGCGGCTTCAAATCAACAGTTCGAATACCTCAATCCCACATTAGCTGAGACGAGTAATTAAGTCATCACTAATTGATCTTTACTTGTGCGATTTATTGCTGTTCATATTCTGATACAAAGCCTGGAATGTTTTTCCTGGACGACTGAGAATGCGCTTCCTCTTTAAGACATCTGACGTGTACGGAGGGAACCGCGTGGACGTACAGTCGCCCGATGGTATTCTCCAGCATGGAAACGTCATTGATGCGAAGACCAACGGTCTGATTATCGACTTTGGTGGCCGTGAACAGCGGTGGCAGTTCGTGGAGTATGGGACGGTCTCACACTGTTTGACGACGACCGGAGGATCCACAGAGTCACCTGCGGACCTCGATACCGTTGTGAGAAATTTACGCACACCTAATTTCCATTTCCAAGTTCTGGGGCGCCCGTCTGCCGATGAATCGTGGAGATGGTACTCCGTAGATTTGTTGGGTAGTACTTTATTCGGCAGCCGCTACGTCGCCGTTGAGATTCGGTGTGATTTGACCATCTTTCGCGAGGTTATTCCGGCTCATCTGTTACGTGCTGTGCCTTCCATCCGCGAACTGCAGCAATGTCGCGTTGAAGTCGGGGATTTTTCTCCTGGACATTGCTCCACGTTGGGGCACTACGCGCCGGCGCACGATAATCCAGTCATGGCGCCACTGTGGAACTGCTGGCAAGAGCAACTGCTCCACAGAAATATTGTGCCTGTACGTGTTCTCAACGATACGCTGTACTACATACAGACAGAAAAACGTCCCCGTGACATAGCTTCTCCTGAATCCCTGGTATGCTCATTAGGACGTTTTAACATTACGTGAGATTATTACAACATTTTAAAATTACGTTAAGATTATGAACGGGAGGTTAGTAGTGAATTATGCACCTAGACTGTACTGCTTCATACATATTCCCTATAGAAGCTTCGCGTCATGGCTGCTCATACAATGTACGACAAAAAGAGGTTGAACCGATCAGTCGGTCCGCGGTTCAAAATAACCTCGCAAGCGTCCAAGTTTTAGTGGTGGCGTGTCGTTGCGAGGTTATTTTGAACCGCGGACCGACTGATCGGTTCAACCTCTTTTTGTCGTACATTGTAAGGTCTATGCAGACTGCAGACGTGTGTAGTATTTTTATTGTATTAAAATATCTTTATCTTCAAAAATGCGCAGGATTGGAAATTTTGTAGAAATTCATTGAGAAATGCTTAGTGTCTATTGAGAGAAGTGTGCCGGACCTGCCGGTACATGGTACCAAATTCATGCACATCATACTTGTACCAAAACTTTCACTTTCGCGCACATTAAAACCATTTTTGCATTTGTTTTGTAGCACATTACAGGCAAATGATTTGTATACAGATACGCTGGCGTGACAAGTAGCACATTTAAATTTTAATGGTAGCACCAAGTTACGTGCCAAGTTTTCTCGCTATGAAAGCCGGGAGCGGAACGGAAAACCCGATAAAACATTTATTACATTATTTCGTGGGGTTTGTAATCCTCAAACAATATAAATAGCACAATATAAAAAACCTTTCTTTTTTTTGCGACTTTCCTTCGAGACTTTTTAAACGGAAAGATTTCCTTTTTTTGCGACACATCCATTTAATTAAATGGATGTGTCCATTTAATTAATTGCTTTGCATGGAAATAAAAAGTTATAACTTTTTATTTCCATGCAAAGCAATTCGTAAAAGCCTTCACCCTACGGGCGGCAGGGGAAACGGGCAGTAATAAAATTCAGTATAAACCATGGACAGATGGACTTAACCCTTAACCGTAGTTTTAACCCTTCGTTGTAGGTTCGCAGTTTGACAAACGCCAGAGTTGAATTGGAAAAGCTCATGTCCGATGGGTGGATATTTTCTGGCACGCGTTGGCGGTCACCGACAAGTGTAGCGAAAGAAGCGTTCCTGTCGCTCGAACACAATCCTCTCGATCCTGAGCCTCTGTCCTCACTGTCGTTAAACGTTCTCGAACAACTCTTCCCGTTCTTGGACACCGTCCACCGTGTGCAATGCCGTCGTGTGTGTCCGTTGTGGGATTCTTTAATAAATCAAGCAAATCCCTCCCACGAAATTCAAATTTCGTTTGCTACGGGGACGACGCTTGCAATCGCAATTAATAAGGCTACTCTAATGGTCGGTCAGTGTCTGTGCAAATGCATGACGTCAACAACGGAACGTGTCATCATTATGAATGCGTCCTACACTGGTTTAAACGCCTGTCTACGATTGATCGTCACTATACAAGAACGTCTGTCACCAACACCGGAAAAGAAGATGACAGTGATCATCAACAAATTCGTGTGGAAAGAAGAACGGCCCGTGTGGAACAAGGATGCGACCTTTACCCGGGATATTGCTAGTATGAGCTACATTTGTTCTTACGCTACTGATGCCGTCGACCGTCTCATGTGGAGAAACTGTGAATTTCCCGCATCGTATCCATGTGGCCTGGATAAAAGAAGCTTCTGTGGTGTGCTTCACCTGGAATCGAACTGCCTGCATTTGCAATGTCATCTGTGGGACATGTTGGAAACCAGTTTAGCTGCCTCGGCAATCGATCCAGATCTCCTTTCCGAATGGATCCGGGACGCAGAGACTGACTGTTTTTACAGTGCGCGCATCAAACAGGTAATAATGGCTCTAAATTTGGATTTCAGAAATTAAACGAGACGGGTACGTTTGGGAGCCAAAGTGACCCTTGGAAATTTTTGCTGTTTTTTCATGAGCACCTTTGTCGAAGGTATATTTTTGCTAACCAAACAAAAATTTGGTTTTCCAGGTCTTAGACCACTTGCAGATCTGCGATCCACGGATCAAAGAGAATCAGCCCGAAGTCAGTTGGACTCTGTATCCAGTGATCGACCTGGACCTGTCGTCGCTGAGCAAGCTGACGCTTTGCGCCCTGCACGGCCTGATGATCGAAAGTCAGCTCACGGAGCAGCAGGTAGTGGACAAGGACAAACTGGAGGTCGGAAAAGCCAGTGGATCCTGTCTTCCAATCTACCTGTGAAGGATGCCAATTAATTTTATTTAATTTGCTATCAAAAGGAAATTCTCTTGTAACAGTAACAGTCGCCTTCGTCAATGTGCAGGCTCACTTAAATACTTAATCATTCAAAAAAATCATGTACGTACAACGTACTTACTGTCTAAACTTCACACTGCCAGTTGGTTTTTCACTACGTCCTAGCCTGAATTCCGCAGAAAATTTTTTAATATTTTTTTTTGTAAAAAAGTAAAAGCGAACGAACAGAAAATTTATGTGTAAAACTACGAATCCCGAGCCGCTTCCGGTTGGCGAACAAATGTTAGCCTCCTGGTTTTGCAGCGCGATGTGGCTTTGCGGCAAAAATTCCTGCGAAATAATCATTGCTATAAGATTCATTCTGCCAGTATCAAAATTTTACCAGGGCCCTGTCACCGTCAGCAAATTTTAAAAGAATGCCATATTCTGCAGGAAGACAAATGAACGTTGGAGTAAAAATAAAAACTCGTTTTTATTTTCCATGGCCAAAGTGCGTGGCCAAAATAAATTTCGAAGCAAATTCTGCACTGTGCTGTAGCCACTTCGTAACGCAAGTTATAATTGTGCGCTATAACGTTGCTGATTTTATTTTGATCAATACTCGTCCTTACTTCTTTATTTGTGCTTCTCTCCTATGGCTGTGAATGATGATGGTCGTTGTTCATGCCGGTCCATGCAGTCGCTTCGCTGATTTCCCCCTTCACGCCCTTGTAAAGGACGCGCTCCCTTAGACAGCGATTACGTTAAGCTGTTGCCTGTTGTAATCGTAAGCTTAGCATCAGATTAATTTTTATTTTGAATTACTTACTCGTATTTTGAATTTTGAAATCCCCACTTTCGTAGCTCCTCCTTGTTGTGAATTTACAAGCAGCTAGGATATGCTTCTCTTTGAGAGTGTGATATCATTCTAGCTTTTTAAGTCAAGACAAGCTAAGATCCTTTTCGGAGTCTATTCGTTGTCAGATTTAGTCATTTAGTTATCTCAGCAGGTAATCATGTTTTTCTACGAAAACAACGAACGCTTGGTATACGCGTGGAACGCTGTGGATGTGCACATCGACGGTCTGCTGCAGCACGGCCACGTCGTCGGTGTGGAAGAAACCGCAGGGACTCCACCGCGTCTGATCGTTGATTTCGGATGCCCAACACTGCAATCGGTGTTGATTCCCTACGGGGCAATCTGGGGCTGCTCCGAGCATCGACCCATCAAGGCGGACGTGGGAGGAAATGTGGAGGTGCTGCTGCAGGACGGTCCGCATCGTCCGTGGACGTGGTGTCCGGGGAAAATGCTGATTCCCTGTTTCCAGGATCTGTACTGGGTGGCGTTGGTGGAGATAACAATGGGCGGGCAGTGCCGTCGCGAAATGATACCCGACCGACAGATTCGCGACCGACCGGGCAAAGCAGGTAGGCCCGGTCTCCTTGCAGCGGGACATTTCGTCGTGTGCAGACCTGCAGAGTGCCTAACGGCTGGCAGGGTGTAAAAAGGTGGCGGTGGCACCTGCCACTGGCAGTTGCCACCGGCAATGGCATGTGCCATTTTGCGACTGGCAAGCGGTAAAACCTGGCAATTTTTCAAAGTGCAGAAATAACTAAAAATTTGCCTGTTATAAAAAAAAATTTATAAAACAATATTAATTTCTATATAATTGATCTTTCTATACTCAGCGGCCAGCTTACTATCTGTATCGCGCCTACCAACGCAATGAGCGCTACAATGCCGCAAAATAAATTTGCGGGTAGCACACACATGTCTTAAAATTTTTCTTACATTTTTTATGTTTTCTGGCAGGGAGTAAAAGGTGGCAGTGGCACCTGCCACTGGCAGTTGCCACCGGCAGTGGCATGTGGCATTTCGCGACTGGCAAGCGGTAAAACATGGCAATGTTTCAAAGTGCAGAAATAACTAAAAATTTGCCTGCCACCGAGAAAAGTGAAAGATAAAACGGAATCGATGCGTTGTTTTTTATTTTCTATGCGTTGCTTTTTATTTCATGAAACGCCATTACACCAAAGATATATGTATGTGAAAGAAACAGTTTATCACATTTCTGTTAAATCATCTTTTTCTACTTTGCGGCCAGCCAACGCTCTATACCCGCCTACCAAAGCAATAAGCGCTAAATATTTATGTAGCAAAAGTTTCTTAAAATTTTAAAATTTCTTAGGTTTCTTGCGTTATTCTTAGGTCTTTCAGTTTTCTTAGGTTATTCTTAAGTACGATCACCTAAGAGAAACCTAAGAATCCTTAGGTTTTTTAGGTTATTCTTAAGTTTCTTAAGCTATTCTTAGGTTACTTTGGGATTTTAGGTTTCTTAGGTTATTTACGTTATGGTTGGGTAATTTTTCTGATTGTCAGGATATTTTTTGAAATCCTGAGAAAACTTAAATAACGTAAGTGACCCTAGTCACGTTGTTATAACCAAAGAATTACAATACAACCGAAGAACCTAAGAAATTTGTTGTAAACCTTAGAAACCTAAGACTGACCTAACAACTTAAGGTTAACCTAACAACCTAAGAAATTTAAGAACATACGAGACACAGTGTAAACCTAAGAAAGTTTTTAGTGGTTTGAGTGTTGCGGTCAGAGCCAAACTTTGAGGGCCAGAGGTTGAGTTGTCAGAATCATGCCTTCAATTGCCTTGTGCATGACGTAGCTTTGTGCCCCGTATTAGCCTACAGCAGTTCTGTGACGTGTTGCTTCTCTAGCGTACGTATTACTGGTGTTTAACGAGTTGTGGTGACTTGACTAGCCTTAGCATATTTGATGTTCTCAACGGATAAGGATATGTGAGAGTGCCCGTTTACGGGCTTGGCTACTCGAAATTAGATCAATCAATCAATCAGACTTTGGACAGTCAGAGTCAGAGTTTGAGCGATCAGAGTCAGAGCTTCAGCGCGGGCCGTTTGTTTCTGTTTCGCTTCCCGACTTTTAGTAAAACGACATATCAGTGAATAACCCAACCCACAGACCGACAGAATACTGCCCGTCAATTCTGCGTTTCCACAATTTGTTGTTCGATGTGTTCGAAAAACTGTTTTGTCGAACTACAGTTTGCTTTTCCGTCTGAGAAAACCAAATAAAAATTAAGAAACCAAGAAGCAGACCGTTTGAAGTTAAAAAGTACAGAAAACCGACCGACCGTGTTACAGAGAAGGGAAAATCAAACAAGAAAACATAAAACCTAATAAAACATAAAAAAACAAAACACCTCACAAAACATAAGAAACATAAAAATGTAAGAAAAATTTTAAGACATGTGTGCTACCCGCAAATTTATTTTGCGGCATTAGAAGCGCCTCATTGCGTTGGTAGGCGCGATACAGATAGTAAGCTACGCTGAGTATAGAAAGATCAATTATATAGAAATTAATATTGTTTTATAAATTTTTTTTTATAACAGGCAAATTTTTAGTTATTTCTGCACTTTGAAAAATTGCCAGGTTTTACCGCTTGCCAGTCGCAAAATGGCACATGCCATTGCCGGTGGCAACTGCCAGTGGCAGGTGCCACCGCCACCTTTTACACCCTGCCATGTTTTCTTATGTTTTGTGAGGTGTTTTTGTTTTTTTATGTTTTATTAGGTTTTATGTTTTCTTGTTTTTGATTTTCCCTTCTCTGTAACACGGTCGGTCGGTTTTCTGTACTTTTTAACTTCAAACGGTCTGCTTCTTGGTTTCTTAATTTTTATTTGGTTTTCTCAGACGGAAAAGCAAACTGTAGTTCGACAAAACAGTTTTTCGAACACATCGGGCAACAAAATTGTGGAAACGCGAATTGACGGGCAGTATTCTGTCGGTCTGTGGGTTGGGTTATTCACTGATATGTCGTTTTACTAAAAGTCGGGAAGCGAAACAGAAACAAACGGCCCGCGCTGAAGCTCTGACTCTGATCGCTCAAACTCTGACTCTGACTGTCCAAAGTCTGATTGATTGATTGATCTAATTTCGAGTAGCCAAGCCCGTAAACGGGCACTCTCACATATCCTTATCCGTTGAGAACATCAAATATGCTAAGGCTAGTCAAGTCACCACAACTCGTTAAACACCAGTAATACGTACGCTAGAGAAGCAACACGTCACAGAACTGCTGTAGGCTAATACGGGCACAAAGCTACGTCATGCACAAGGCAATTGAAGGCATGATTCTGACAACTCAACCTCTGGCCCTCAAAGTTTGGCTCTGACCGCAACACTCAAACCACTAAAAACTTTCTTAGGTTTACACTGTGTCTCGTATGTTCTTAAATTTCTTAGGTTGTTAGGTTAACCTTAAGTTGTTAGGTCAGTCTTAGGTTTCTAAGGTTTACAACAAATTTCTTAGGTTCTTCGGTTGTATTGTAATTCTTTGGTTATAACAACGTGACTAGGGTCACTTACGTTATTTAAGTTTTCTCAGGATTTCAAAAAATATCCTGACAATCAGAAAAATTACCCAACCATAACGTAAATAACCTAAGAAACCTAAAATCCCAAAGTAACCTAAGAATAGCTTAAGAAACTTAAGAATAACCTAAAAAACCTAAGGATTCTTAGGTTTCTCTTAGGTGATCGTACTTAAGAATAACCTAAGAAAACTGAAAGACCTAAGAATAACGCAAGAAACCTAAGAAATTTTAAAATTTTAAGAAACTTTTACATAAATATTTAGCGCTTATTGCTTTGGTAGGCGGGTATAGAGCGTTATTGGCCGCAAAGTAGAAAAAGATGATTTAACAGAAATGTGATAAACTGTTTCTTTCACACATATCTTTGGTGTAATGGCGTTTCATGAAATAAAAAGCAACGCATAGAAAATAAAAAACAACGCATCGATTCCGTTTTATCTTTCACTTTTCTCGGTGGCAGGCAAATTTTTAGTTATTTCTGCACTTTGAAACATTGCCATGTTTTACCGCTTGCCAGTCGCGAAATGCCACATGCCACTGCCGGTGGCAACTGCCAGTGGCAGGTGCCACTGCCACCTTTTACTCCCTGCCCTAACGGCTACTGGGCTCTACATCCGTCTGCATCGGCAATGCTGCTCCGCCGCGTT